GATATAAGCCCCCCCCTTATTATAAGCCCCTTATGAAGTTATATAAGCCCCGGACTTTGACGTGGAATTTTACGGTATTCTCCCTTCACCATGATAAAAATAATTCTCCATATTCTTCTTAAAGAAGCTTCCTCTCCCGCTCCATTAAAAACCCACATTCCCTGGTACAAGTAATGAAGAAGCCCGCTAGTGAATGAGAGATTTACAGCAAGTTATCCGTGGTTGAAAAATGAACTAGGTGTTCATAATGACATACTTAATTCATTAATCCGGTGCAATAGGTTTCTTCATTTATGACAAGGTTAGCAATGGCTTGACATCTGTCAAGTTATTTTACCTGCTAGACGTTTCACAAAAACGACGACGCAACTTATAAATTCCCAACAAAGCAAGTTGACTTATTAGCTGAGTGCAAGCGAAAAGAAACACACCAAGAACAACATAACCGGCCGGAGTGATGCCATACGTTATTCCTTCGTAGATTTGTTTCTTTCCTTTGTCATTTACTCCTTCAGCGAGCCAGAATATAACTGTGAATAACATGTAGCTTCCTGTGAAGATCAGCGAGAAGATAACCTGGGTAAAGAACACTGGTATTCCACTTGTCAAGGTCTCCAAAAGAAGGAACATTGTAGCAAACGCGTGCTTAGTGAGATCGTTTACGAGGCCAGCACCAGTTTTGTCTGGATTTTCCCTGAAGTAGAAATACCCGTAATAGAAGACAGCGATGGCCAGTGTCACGTTCGCTGTGATGCTGTACATTATCCAGAATGTCTTGTGGTACCAAGCTAACTTGTTCCCATACTGCACGTCTTTGGTATCTTCACCTCGTTCTTCGTCGGTTTCTGTGGTTTCAGGTCGCTCATACACAACAGAATGCGGCGCCTCGGTGCGTTCTTCAGATACTCGGTTCTTGTATTGCTGCCGGTCAAGGAAGCATAAGCACAAATTAGAACTGCAGAACTGCATGAGTAGAAAATGAGAACCAGCAGGTATCAAATGATTTAATAAGTACTGATTTGGAGAAATTTAGGCGGATTTTTTACTGTATCTTACTACCTTACCTGCACGGATGCTGTGATTGAAAGAACAGCGCCAAACAGGAAGTAGACTGTGGATACTGTGAAGGCCCAGTGGGTGAGAAAGATAAAAAATGTCGCAGCCGGGTACCAGATAACGTTATAAATCCACCAACCAAGGAGGTAAACTCCAACAATCAACCGCCACGCTGCCAGAACAGGAACTGGAACAACCTAACCACACAACATTGTACTGAGTTAGGAGAAGATCAAAATACAAACAGAAAAATAAGCACTGGAACAACCTAACCAACATAACATTGGTACTGAGTAAGAAGATGATCAAAATACAAACTGGAACAACCTAACCACACAACATTCGGTACTGAGATAGGAGATGATCAAAATACAAACGGAAAAATNACAAACTGGAACAACCTAACCACACAACATTGGTACTGAGTAAGAAGATGATCAAAATACAAACTGGAACAACCTAACCACACAACATTCGGTACTGAGATAGGAGATGATCAAAATACAAACAGAAAAATAAGCACTGGAACAACCTAACCACACAACATTGGTACTGAGTAAGAAGATGATCAAAATACAAACTGGAACAACCTAACCACACAACATTCGGTACTGAGTAAGAAGATGATCAAAATACAAACGGAAAAATAAGCACTGGAACAACCTAAACACACAACTGTACATTTTAATATTAATCTATTGTAACGTAATAGTGTCCCCAATTAGCTTCTGTAAGCTAAATACTTACCCTGACACTTAAATAAAGTTATTATTTATTTATATTGGTACTGAGTTAGGAGATGATCAAAATACAAACGGAAAAATAAGCAGTGGAACAACCTAACCACACAACATTGGTACTGAGTAAGAAGATGATCAAAATACAAACTGGAACAACCTAACCACACAACATTCGGTACTGAGTAAGAAGATGATCAAAATACAAACGGAAAAATAAGCACTGGAACAACCTAAACACACAACTGTACATTTTAATATTAATCTATTGTAACGTAATAGTGTCCCCAATTAGCTTCTGTAAGCTAAATACTTACCCTGACACTTAAATAAAGTTATTATTTATTTATATTGGTACTGAGTTAGGAGATGATCAAAATACAAACGGAAAAATAAGCAGTGGAACAACCTAACCACACAACATTGGTACTGAGTTAGGAGATGATCAAAATACGGAAGAGTGGAGTATGAATTGTTCTGCTACGACAAACGTTGCTACTGATTCATACTAACTGTCAAACCAGGAGCAACTGACTGCATAATTATGATAATTTATTTCATTGACAAAATAAGGGTTTTAAAATTGGCTCATCGACAAAAGCTGGTTTTCGATGGCAACGACTTCTTTCAACTCGGTTTGAACGTAGTCACACCTGCCGTGTGGTTTTATCTATAAACAGTTCCAGATAGCGGTTCCAGTTAGTAAAGAGGTCTTTTTATCTCTTAAGTGTTTTCGACACCAATAAGCAAGGTCATTTAACTGAGTTCATATATGACGGGAGTCCTGCATACTGCTAAGATCAAAATACAAACTGGAACAACCTAACCACACAACATTCGGTACTGAGATAGGAGATGATCAAAATACAAACGGAAAAATAAGCAATGGAACTCAGTTAAATGACCTTGCTCTCCATGAGTTCTCGTGGCTCAGTGGATAGAGCGCCCGCCCGGTGTTCGGGAGGTCATGGGTTCGATTCCTGTCGGGGAATCCCACGCTCGTGTCATGTTGATTAATTCACCTTCACACTTACAGGGTTCCTTACAAAAAGTTACGACCCTATATAAACCGATCTGTGTTACTGCAATTACGTCACTGATGTACATAACCGGCTGTTATTTTCCTCTTGTGCATGGTAGTCATTTCTGAAGCTCGCTGCTTTCGGGTTTGATAACAACTGTTTGGTGATTGTAGCGCTATTGTTTCAATCGGTATTTCCAAATTTAGCGGAAAATGATACAAAAATCTTTGTCGGTGTTGCGAGCTTCCCCAAAAAGTAAACCTGGCACTATGTTCTGATAACTTTTTTCACGATTGTCATTTTAATACAATTCCGGCCCGGTCAAAAGTTCGCAATGTTTCAACGTAACATACTGCGTTGTAATTTCTGATTTTGGATGTTATAACAGGCTGACCAAACTTGTGCGACATGATGTGTGCAACAGTGCTATGATATACTGCGTCTTGAGATGTTTTGTTCGTTTGACCCGAGCTTAACGGTTTGGTTGAAAGCCTACCTTTGAATTTGAGAAGTCTTTGACTGTTGAGTTGTTCCATACTGTACAAGTTGGATAACAGACATTTTTGTTACAAGGCATTTTTCCACTTCAGTCAGTGTAGGCAGTTCACAAGTTGGAACTTTCAATACGAATGCTGAGGATTCAATGTCTTTCACATCTTTCATTTGCACATTTTTGCTCATACCATGGCAACTGCCAAACCTCAAGAAATATGTTTGAATAAAGCATAACCCTTGCTTTGCTATCACTATTTTGTGGTTGTTTCTCTTTATCGTAGTTTATAGCAAGCTCACAGAAATACTTATTAGAACACGATGTATCGACTGGAACATGAATTATTCTGTGCGTGAGAAGAAAGTGGGAGCGTTTAACAGAACTGTGCATCAAATTTCGCTTCCTTGGTGACGGTACTGGTTTATTTGAAACATCCTGTGTCATGATGCGTGCTCACTGTTCTAGAAATACCATAAATAAATCTGTAGGGTCGTTATAAAAAGTCCTTTTTAGAACGAACTCTTGATCACAGAGAAAATGTTTCACAACTGAAAAAACAAACCGTAAAAAGTGTTAGCCTACCAAGCTAGTCCTGAATCGTTAGGTGAAATACGCCATTTTGCTAATGCTAGCTCCAGTCCCTTGTGGGGCAAAATTTGATCTATTTAATGAATTAATGAGGCCATTTTTGGCCGAGTGATCACTTTTTGCCCTCATAAGGGAATGGAAGAAGGAAATATTTGCATTAGCAAAATGGCCCATTGCCGCGGGGTTTTCGCGTTAAGTTGATTCCTCAGTATTGCATTGCGCATTCCTACTGCGCACGATTTTCGCGTCATTAGCGCGCGCACATGAGCGCGTGCACACACACAACGTAAGAGATTTCCATCAAGCTCGACAGCGAAATAAATGCTTGTTTTCTCTGCATTAAATTAGTCTATAATTCATTGCCTTTCCACTGAATGAGTAAAAAAAAAATGTTAACGTCAGGTAAAAAAATTATTGCCAAAAATGTTTACTTACCCTTTCACTCGTGACCTGAACCTTACCACCCCTTAGAAGACGCACGCTAGAAACACTTTTTGTCAACTCTGATCCAAGATGTACATTTTTGCCAAGAAACACACATCAAATTGTTTCTTTAAGACGATGCAATGTATCTATTGAGACTTTTTAATATTAACTCCATGTGTTTGGCCACTGATACCCCGAAACGTAGCGGCATTCAGAAAAAGAAAAACGCACTTAATGGGTACCATTGCGCGGATTTTTGAGCACCGTACCAAATGTTTTTTATCGCACATTTCGAATCCCTGCATTATTAGGAACGACCACAAAAATTTAAAAAACTCTAACGTCAAGTGTTATTTTTAGGGAATCGCCTTAAGAGACGGACCATTGGAAAAATGATGGGGGTGGGGTGGGACTTTTTCAGCTCGCAGGAATATTTTTTACATCCACTGCCTTTGCAAGTCCGCTGCACAATTTTTTTTTTTCAAATTATTTATTTTTTTTGGGGGGGGGGTAGGGGATATTCTATTGTCCCAATCTTAATCTTGACACTCGCCACAATCTGATAACAGGCTTCAAACAAATATTTTTTCACCTTTCACAGAGTCGTTTGAATTATTGTCAAAATTATACTGCGGAGGAAACGTAACCAAGTATCAGATGCACTTGCCTAACTGATGGGGTTGCGTTGCATTTTTTGTTCGATGTTTAGGGAAATATCAATTTTACTTATTCATTCCCCTCGTAATAAAATTCATTCCTGGCATTCAGTGAATCAAGGTGTTAGCTAGGATTCTGTGAGTGGCCATCCAGTAACAAATATGGGACAAAAGGGCCTATTCCTCCAGGGAGTATGACCCCCCCCCCCAGAACATTTTGCACAGTTGAAGCGTTTTTGGTGCGTTTTCCACGATTTGCAGCCGATAAATTTAATGTATCGATTGGACTTGAAAACTAGATTGAAACTGCCATACTAAACGTGTCAGTTGTGTTATTCGACAACTCTATGATTGTCTTTGATTGCGACGTTTGTCCAACGTTGATCTTAGGGGCCATCTTAGGGAAAGTATTACGGTTTGCCATGGGTGTGCACATCTGTGTCCACAATCGTCATTTATACATATCAGTTGTGAAGTCACTCCTATATGTCGTGGCTTTCAAAACACGCATGTGCTTACTTAATTGCAAACGAATCAAGCAGGATGGCTGTTTATAGCACATGGTTTTTTTTTATCACTTTCGAGTCATGGTTATCTATAAGGGTTTTTCTGTCAGGGTGTTTGGTTACCAGTGTCCACGATGAGGTTGCTGCGCATAAAATGTATCAGCCTTGAAAGGGAAAAATGACCGTTTTCCTAATTGTAGAGAAAACCACGTGAATGGGGATTCCATCAGGGGCAAAGAAATTAAAACTGCAGTATAAAGTGGCTGCCAAGTTGCCCTTCAGGCGAATACAGTTGAAGCCCGACAGTGCAATTCACTCTGCAAGAATTTTTTTCTTCACTTCTTCTTTGCACGATTTTTTTTTTTCAGTCATGATCATCCTACCTTGCATGCATTTTTTTGTTTTTCCCCACTCCCCATTCACTTTTCTAATGGTCCGTCCCTTGTTAATTTAGCACTATCACACAGATAGTTAATGAGATCTTTTTGCGTCTTGGCTGTTTCGACAGCATCATACAGCCACTGTTTTCGTTCTCCACCATTAAGTTCCAAAATTAAAAACCCTCGTTACTTTAAAACCGCTTCATTCGGAGCGAGAAGCACTGTTTTTGGGTGGAGTTGTGACGGAGACGGAGACTTGGTCGTTACTTACAGGCAGCGAAAACTACAGGCCACATATAAACTACCTTACTGTAATCGTGTCACTGATACACAGGACCAGCCGTAGTTGGAATAGGGGCGCTTATTAATATCATCACGTTCAAGGGGTTGTAGGAGGGGGGGGGATTACTGGGAGGAGGGCACTGTGTGGCTTTCCATAAGCGAGCCCGGCAGCGGCTGACGGCGGCGCAGTTTGTATTTACTGACGGACAAACTCATCCAATTACTCGATTTCTTTACTGCATGCTCCTTTTTGCGGGTTTTTTTGCAACATGCGGTTTCTCTCAAAAAAAAAATAAACGTTTTTCATGCGCAAGTCATTGTGAACAGTATTTATGCACACTGAACAAAAAGCAGAATATCCCCATAAACCAGCCTAAATGTACATGCTTGTTAATTCTGAGCAAAACATATTATGCACCCTTGTTGAAAGTGAAAGCTTCTCAAGGGAACATAAAAGTACAAAATGTTGTTTAAATCCCTTAAAAGGTTTCATTACCCTTAATAACCTCATTCAAATTGAAAAAAACAATAACTTGCTGGTACCAGAAGCCTTGCTGATTTCTTGGATTGTTGTTCACCGTAAACTGAATAAATTATTCAAGGTCGGAACGGGAAAACAAAATAACTCCACCGGACGCTTTAACCGACCTTTTTCAGCGAGTATACTTGCGTACAAAGCCTTCCAGAAAAAAACTTGAAGGATGAACAAGTGGAAATAGGATAAATATGGAAACTGAAAGCTATCGTTCTGTCACAAGCGGTCTTGAGAAGCTCGAATTTTTTACATGTCGCGTCAAATACATGGCATTAGCGAGTATATAGCAATGGCCGTACAAGAACGAATTCAGTCATTTCAAGCAAACAACTTAGAGATCCCGTTGTATTGGACTTTGCGGTGTTTTCAAAAAGCACTGGCAAATAATTGTTTGCTCGGTGATCATCGTAGGAGGTGTAAAATCGCTATTACTGAGAAGTGCGCAAGAATTGAGCAGACTCCGGACGCCGCGGAACACAATGAACTCTATGCTATTCCAGTTTATAGAGTCAAAGAATTTAGCGAGGAATGTCGGGAAAAAAGATAACACACAACTGGAAAAGATGACAGAGGAAGATCCAGGTATACTACCCCTTAGAAAACTGATTATTGGCAAACAATTGCCTGAACCCCATACTCTCTTCTCCCCCGAGTGGACTACCTTAACCGGAACCCGTCAGGGGTGGAGAGGAATGGTCGAGTGACCATCTTAGGTCATCATAACTAAACAACATTATGACTCTCTGTTCCATTACCATTTTCTTTGAGAATAACAAATTAGCCTTTTAGATTTAAAGCACGCGTTTCACTGAGTTAATCGCAGTTTCTACTCGCCCGTAATTAGTTCTCTTTCTAAGTTGCAAAAATCCGGCTTATTTGGGGTTGACCATTACTGGTTTCCGCAGTAATAAACGGCAGAGTGTGGAAATTTTGTTCACTCGCAGCGCTGATTGCTTACAAAAAAGCCACGAGTATGTTCCTTTACCTATATATGGGGTGGTATCGCATACAAATGAGTGTCTCATGTTATTCTGCGCGCGCAGGTCAGTCGAGAAACGCGAGAAATGAAACAAACTCAACTCGATCTCATTGCAACCAGATGATTTCTGTGAGAAACGATTGTTCTCTAAGATAAGAAACGTTTGGAGCAGCCAATCAGAAGCCTTTTAAAAACCTGCGGGTGGTCCGATCATCCTTCTTTGTTGCCAAGGAAGAAAAACCGCTTAATTAATTGTTACTGATAAAAGGCTGCAGGGCATAATTGTTCAATGTTGATGATAGCTGTTTTCAACGTCTTGTATGGTGATTCACAGGCAGCCCAAAGGTACGCCATGAGGATAAATAATAATAATTATAGGATTTATAGAAGGACTTTGGTTGACCTAGTGGTTATAAGGGTTTGTTGGAGAATTCTAACGTAAGCTAAACAAAATATTAATATTGCCACAGTCCAGTCTACAGTTGAGTAGATCAATTTACTGTTTCCTTCGTAAGACACCTTAACATTTAACATAATCATTAACTTAAAGTGTCTGCCACACGTTTGGGCTGCCTGTGGTCGATAAGGCACGATAAGCATAGAGTGGCGCCACCATAGGACCGATTAAGAACTGTGCGGACTGAAAGAGAATGAGTCAAAGGACAAGGCGACATACAATAACAGAATTTCCTGCAAACTTGATGCCATTCAATATTCTGCCTTGTTCTCAGTTGTATTCAAGCTTGCGTGTATGATACCGCATCAGTCAGTTCATAGTTAGTCCCCTCAACTAAGTATGGTCAGTTGAAGGATTTATCCAGTCACATAATCCGTCATGACATTTGTTGTTTTTATTTAAACAAAGTACTAATATTTACTAGCAATGATAGGCTTTAGTGTTACTTAAATCGAACCTACCGGCCCCTCAAGGAGTGTTGACGCCCGCGTATACTGATATCTAGTTACAAAACTGGACGTCATCTTTTTACAAATAAATAAGCAATCAGAAATGCAGTCTAGAATCAGGTCAACATGATATGATCTTCAGTCGGTCCTTCCTCGTCAATCGAGGTTGTCAGATGCATAAACAAAAGTTAAACGCTTCATTAACAGTCAGTTAAAATTATAATTTTGTTTTTCGCAAGATAACACTGAAAATGACCCAAAGTTTTGAAACAGCACCGTGTCATGTCAACAGAATGCTGAGCCGGTGTTCGCAGCAAAATGTTGTTTCAGGCACTAACACCAAGCGTGTCTGAGTTTCGTGTGAATAACCAGCGAAGCGGGAAGTTTTTAAAGTCGCATTGAAATTACATTTGAGTACAAAGGAAAACAGTTTGATCTTTGCCGACCACATTATATATGTTTATTATATCCTTGGAGTAGATCATTCTTATTCATTTAAATTTTCTCTTGAAAATAGTTCGATCCGTGATCAGCTCTGAGCGGAGAAATTTCTCGGCTTTGTCCGTTGTATCCGTATATACGCGGAGAAAAAAATTATTTCATTTTTGTCGCCGAGCCGCAGACCAATTTACGGATTTGGAGGATTTCGCCAGAGTTCGCAATGTCATTATTTGATCCAAAGGCGCTTATTTATTCAAAACAACGGCAATTTGCTAGTTACTGAGTCTCCGTATTACAGTAATTGCCAGTTTCTTCTTTATAATGATTTCGAGGATTCTACTTTTTATGTCCGTGAAAGTTGTTGAATGAAGGGAATCTTGTTATCGGCGACGAAGAAGTTGTCGGCCTCCGACAGATGTTCACGGAGAAAACTGTAGGCAGAAGAAAAACAAACACAAAAACCAAATAAATGTAATGAGAACACGGGAAAAATTGCTCACGTTCTGACCAATAGGAATTTCACAAAAATCAAAAAATTTACGGACCTGCTGCACGAGACAATGTATTCTGCTAAGCCTCGCTCCGTGATTGGTCGACCGTTATTGAATATTCATGTTCAACTGAGTTTCGTCCGGAAGGCCAACATGGCTCCCTCGAAAGGTAAAAATCCGTAAAAAACTGCTGTATTTTGGCAGGTTCGAGGATTTTTCTGTGGAAGAATAGGCAGACTAACATTTGCATTGGTTTCTTGCTTTTCAGATGCGGAGGTGCGAAAAAAATTGCTGGAAAACCTCAAGAAAGAGGTAAAGTGAATATTTCTCTTCGCTCGAAAGATTAAAATGTCGAACGATCATGAGTTGATTTTTTTTAATCCCCTTGATTTTTTGCCCATGCACATTTTGATTTGTAGGGTTGCTTTAGTCTTTCAGGAGTTTATTTCATCGAGAAACTGTGTTTTTATGTTTCCTAGACGATAGTAGGCTGAGTTGAAAGTAGTGCAATCCTATAAAATGTTCATGTCGCTTCCCAGGTCAAACAGCTAATGGAAGAAGCTGTCACTCGCAAGTTTATCCATGCAGACAGCTCAAGTATAACCTCCCTTTGCGGTAAGAATTATTTCCCTTGTTTCTGATACTATTTTGCGCTTAGATTATAATTTTCCGATGATAAGTTAGGTTGCTTTGGAAGTCCTTTTCTGAATGTTATTTTGATTGGGTATATATTGTCAAACATTTCCATCGCTCGCGGTCTAGCTGCGAATGTTCGTGAAAAAACGGGCTTTGATAGCGGAAGCAAATTTTCCCTCCAAGAAAACGAATCGTTCTTCAATCGGAGGCTGTTGTAACGACTCGTATTTGCTGTGTTGGAATCTTGCTCGTTCATATTCAGAATTCAAGCTTGGTGTCTGAAGAATTTCCACGGAGGTGGGAATAGTACATTTAAAGCGCTGCCTAAACCCTGTGCAGTTTATTTTGTACACAAAAAGATCAAAACAAATAAACGAGCCTGGTGTTTTTAAAGGCCTTCCTTGCGGATTAATAGTAAAATACATACTTTAGTGGAAAAACAGTGTTGAAGTTGCATTCCTATGACTAATCCCTTTTTAAGCCAAAATCCCAGATTTTCATCTGAACTATAAGCTGACTGGAGATTCAATATTTTGTCAACCTGTATCGATCGTGAGGAGATTCACGCATCGATTCAACTTTTTCAAGTTAATTTTACTTTATGTCTTCAGTTTGAAATGGAAAAGGAATTCTTTGTTTTCAGATAAAAATACAATTTCCTAATAAAATTATTAGTATCGTGCGATTAATCATGCAGGGTCGATAATTATGCACAATCTTGTCATTTCTCAATTTGGAAAAATACTTCGCGAATACTGAATGCATTTTTTTTCGAACAGTTTATTGAGGCAGCTGAGATTAATGACTTGGAAAGAATCAATGACAATTTTTTGCAAGATTTGAGTAGAAAATATAAATGTCTAATAATTTGTATTTTTAGACTACAGTATTTTAAATTATTATAACTTTGTAATTTAAGAAACTTATATTTAGATATTTTGCCATCTTTTTTTGCCCTTTTTGGCATGCACACAAATATTAATTTTATTGCAACCATCATATATTATGTTTATAATGATTCTGAAAAAGTAGAAGTAATATAACTGGCCAGCTATTTAATAGCTGACAAATTATATTACTTCTACTTTTGCTATGATCACGTAACTGCCTTTCCCCTTAACGTTTTGCTTTTGTTTCTCAGTTGTTTGTTTTTTATTGTGTCCCAATAAACAGTATTTGTACAAGTCTTTTGCATGTCAGACATAGTATAATAATTTTAAAATTAGTTTTATCCAATTTAATTTTGAGTTCTGCAATAATATTATAGTACGTTGTTTCCCGGAAAAGAGGAAACTGATACACTCTCTTTGGCTGTGATTTTGAAATCATTATCGTGGCTGAGATGGACGAAGCAGTAGCTCCAAAAAAATTTAAGCAAATGCCATCTACAAAAACACAGAATGGGAACACTGTTAACAACCAAAATAACAATTACGTTCTTTCCTAAATAAATCCACGTAAAATATCTTAATTTCGATCTTGAAGCTTAATTGTTATTTTTTGACAAAAAAGGCTTAAAGCAACCTGAAAATAATTTTTCGACAAATCCAAATAAAAAAACACACCCAACAAGCAAGCATAATCAAGATTTTTTAATCATCCTTGCTGTCATCATTGTTTTACAGTATTTCTGTAAACATACAACTTTGTGCAGAGATGTCATCATTGTTGAATGCAAATTGTCTTCAAAAATGTTACAAACTTTTGAAACTTAGTAATTGGTGAAATATTTAGCTCTTTAGGTGTATATGTATATAGGCTCTCAAAAATTGAAAAGGGTTGAATGTGAGCCCAAGGCATGGGATTTATTCTTTGTAAAATTTTGAGTAAACCCGTGTAGCACAAAGTCCTAAAAAAACTAGTCTACAGGCAATGCTGTAATGTCCAGAATGTGCACATGTACTAAGCCTGCCATCCTTCTCTTCCCATTCTGTCAAACGGACCAGCTATATTATTTTGCGTGCTAGTATTTATCATGCTTTGCCTTTTTTCAGGGGCAGTAGAGGCTGGAATTGCACATGGCTTGAAGAAAAGAGCTGCTGGTCTTCTTCCTCCTCAGGACACACAGTCTCTTCTGCTGAAACTCGCACGACTATCAGAGCCTGCTGCTGAACTGATTAAGAAACTCTCAGGAGAAGATGAAAGAAGCAAAGATAGAAGCAGAAACTTGTCACCAGGTAATTATATCTGGGATGGATTTGGGGCGGGGGGGGGGNTGGGATTAGGTGGCTAGCCATCCCCCAAAAGGAAACGTCCTTTGGGAGAACAGTTTTTAAGGTATTAACTATTTTTTTTTTTTATTTTTATTTTTTCAGGACCTGTTGAAAGCCCAATACTGAAGATGAAATTTAACTTCTCAGCTTTGAACAGCAGTAATAAAAAGCTTAATGGTTATAACATTACTGGACACTGTGGCAAGTTTCTATGGATCAGAATAGCTCTGTTAGAAAAGCTGCTTAGAAAGATTGTTGAGGATCTTCAAACTAATGCAAGGTTAGTAGAGTTCAACAGTTTAAGTAATGGTATTTCTCTTAAATTCCAGGGACCATACATAATATTTAGCTTTTTGTCAAACTTTCTGCTTGACAAACTGTATATCAGGAAACAAACTTGGCTAGATTTTACTTGCGCTTTCAACAGTGACAATGTCCTGTTCATGAACATATTTACAACATTGTTTGGAAGCTAATAGCTTATCGTTTTGTTTTTCAATAGTTTTAAAATGCCATCAAAAACCACCAGATCTCATCACAAGACAGTGCAGCAAGATTAAATCATGCTTACACGTAAAACAAAAGTCACTATCATGTTACCCACATGTTTACAACTGAGGTAAACATGTTCAAGCTTTTGCAAAAATATTAAGCAGCTGGATTATGTTATGGTTGCAAGCGACGAAAAACATGAGTATATTGCATTTGATTTTTCATCATCCTCCTAGATATAAAATGAAACAAATAAACATAAAAAGAAGACTTCAATCTGACAATTATTTTGATTTCAACTCTGCAGACAAGTGAATCATCATTGTACTATCTATTGATTGCCAGCATAACATTCTGTCCTATCTTTAGAGTCTCTTGAGTTACAGGCCTAATAAATACTATGGAGACAAATATCTGAAGCTGAATTTATCCATCTGAGATGATCCATTAATCATATGAAAAGGATAGTAATGTAGGCCATAACTCATTGTGGCACCAAAGTTATACGTTAAGGTGAATTATCTGTGTCAGGCTGCAGACATGTTATCGATCTGAGCAGCAGGCTAAAAAAGTGTCTCAGTTGGATAATTTGTCCCTGATATAAATTCAGCCACTGTTTTAGCATACGTGTTCTTTCACATTAGAAATATGTTTGTTGATTTATGGTAATTCATATCTTGAACATGATCTACATGTTGATCTGAGAATGACTGACAAGTAGCCAAAATGTCATTCCCTGTTATTGTTTCCATCATCTGTGCAATGACAGATACAAAGTTGAAAACCATGGCAATGACAAAGTGGTAGGATTACTAAGGTGGGAAAAAAACATGAAATGTACCACCAGTAACTAGAAACACCTATCACAGTGTTTGTTTCATCGGACATGTGTAGTTTTAAAAAAACACAAAACCACTGACAGGATACGTGTATACCTGTAGCACACATACTTTGCTACCTCATTGCACTCCTGCACAACCACAGTATGGAAGTATAACACATCATATCAGCAAATGTAATTAAGGTATACTGGGCCAATTTATAATGTTGCACAACAGTTTTTGGAACACAATATTATAAAAGAAACTTTACTATGTGATTATTTAATTTTGTCACAGCCAATTTTATGAACCTGAAGCACTCTTAAGTGATCCAGCAGATGGCCGAATATTTATTGAACTTTTAGGTAAGTAGATCTACATTCTTCAGGCTTGGCTCATGTGTTGTAAACCTGCAGATAAATAACATTTTATGACAGTGCTGTATACACCTGTAGTTGTGTGGTTGTTTTGATACACTGACAATATTAGGTACATGTGAGTACAGATACAAGTACCTCGGCTAAAACCATTTGAAACAAAGAAAATCTTCACATTTATTATTAGCCTAAGAAATATGCAAAACTGCATAATTTGCAATTTGCCACGGTCTGTCAAACCAGAACAATGTAAGGCAAATACTAAACAGCCTGTTGTAAAATAAATGCACTGGTGATGAAAACTGAAGGTGTTAGTTAATGCTATCTTTTGACGAATTTACAAGTAGAATCTCAACACACTTTGCCCATGTTAATTCCTGCGTGCGTGCTTTGTATTGTTGATAATCCTAACTTGTGCTCTCCAAGAATAGTGGCCCCAAATACAGCTTGGCATTTTTATGAAAAAGAGTAGAAATAACACATTCGTGATCAATAATGATTTCTTAAAACATAAGTAAGCGAATATTGAAGTTAATAGCCAACGTTTCGGCGTCATTGTGACACCATTCTCAAGGAAAAGTGAATAAATTAATGCAAAGATTTCATTTCTATACTTTACAGTCTCTACAAATTAGCATAGTAACAAAGGGTCACAAGTTCTTCAAGTGAATACTTTTGAGTGAATCGAGTCCATTTGCACATCGAGAGATGGTTTAAGTTTTCTTTTAAAAAGCATCTCCTTAATTCAGTTAACGATAAAGATTAGCGAAAAAACTGAGCAACGACGTTTCGGTGTCATCCTGGCACCATTTTCAAGTTAAAAAATATTTGTGCGAAAAGTAAAT